AAGCCGGACATGTCCGGGAAAAAGAGGACGTATGGTAACCCTATAAACACTAGCTCCCATATGTCAGTGGTAAGAAGCTTTACATTCTTCAACAAAATACAAGATGACAGTAAAAAGTATGTTTTTCTGCCTGGGCTATAGGAGAGAAAAATAAATGAAGGCAGGAGTCCCTCTTTCTCAGAGCCCAGATTTCAGCTGTAATTCAGCAAGCTACTTAAGCATGTGCCTAATTTAACTGCAATGGGACTACTTATGTGTTTTGTGTGAGAGGATTCCACAGTATAAATGATATCTGGATGGGTTTCAGGGGAAACAGAGCACCAGGACGAGGTGGCCAAAAAAACAAGGAACCAAAAGAAAAAGAAACTCTCCTTTGCCCTTATTGTGTCCAGTCTCCAAAATCAGATATTAGTTCAGATGAGAGCTTACACCCATATTATTTACTAAACAGGTGGTATTTATTAGCATCTTACAATGCAGTATTGGGTAGAAAACAGAGAAGCACTCATTCCTCTTTGAAATGGGATATTTTCTATCTTTTTTGTTGTTATTTTTGTTGCTGTAACTAATTTATATATTTATTTTTTACAAAGTAAGCCCAGTTAGTGAAAATTATTTTATGCTCCCTTGCCACTATACCAACAAAATGAAATCCAAGTTGCTGCATGATGTGACTTGTAAACCATTTGTGCTGAAATGACTGCCAGGAAATGGATGGAAAATCTTTATCCTGAAGAAACACTCAAATAAAATGCTAGCATAATCTGAAAATGTTCACTGAAAGTGAGAATTGGGTTTTTAAAAATTCTCAATCTCTTCAGCTGATCCCAGTATAAACAATTTAGTGCATTAGCAGAGAAACTGATTTTTTTCCCCCTCTTACTTTGAGCAAATCTGAAAATAATATTTTTTTAAAGGAAAAAAGCAAAATAAAACCATTTTGTTTGCATTTTAGGGAGGAAAAAAGTCAGCAGCTCTGCCATCTAATCTAAGCCACACGTTTTCAAAAAGGCTACTATGAGTGTTTTACAAACACTAGTCTCTTGCCAGTTTTGCTTCATTTTTTTGGAGTTAGGTCATGATTTAAAATCTTGACATTCGCAGCTCGGGCTAGACACTGTGATCACAATTAGATGTGCTCATCTCACTTTGCCTTCTGATACTCAGCAATTCATAGATATTTAGGCAATCAGCTGGCAACAAAGACGGATATTAACAGATTCTGAATACTGACTGGCCTATTTTTTCTTTATAATGTAGCCCCTAACATTTTCATTTGTGGATCCTAATAGACACCTGTCCCTCTGTATAGGGCAAGTTTGCCTACACTAGAATTTAGTGTCCATTTTTTCTGAACCACAGAGAAAAGCGACAGCTCATTTACTTATCCACTTAACTCTAAAATTACATAACCATATCAACCCCTCTTCTCCCTTCAACCCTCGCTGCATCTCTTGTTATCACAAAGCCTATTCAAAAGGCTTCCGAGAGCCAAGACCAACAATAAGACAATCTAACTTCATGTGAAACTGAAAGGCTGATTCATTCTTCCCCATCCGAGAAAAAGACCAAACATGATTCTTTCTAGTGCTGTTATTTCAGATCTGTATCACTTCTTGGTTTGACCACAGCTGGGACTAGTGTTCTGCCCCCTAAACATGTGTTACGTTATCCTGAACGTTTTATTCATTTACTGGAGGAGGTATCAAGAGATTTCTTCTTTAAATGACAGCCCGATGCCCAGGGGACTGACCTGCCAGAAGAATTCTTTAGCATTGTGGAAGTAACTGGCTACCACAGAAAAACTGCTTTGAAGTTACTCATTTGCGGCACCCAATGAACTAGGGCTGCGCCAGTTCTTTTTACTGGATTACTTTCATGGCAAGCTCTTTTTGTCCATCTGAAGAGTTCCTTTGTGACCAAAGAATGTGGATGTATCTTGGGACTGATTTGATACCTCAAAAGATGATTCTTGTAGCTTATCTTGCTGTAAGCTCTCTGCTGAAGGAAATGATGCAGAGCTCTCATGTCACTGGATCAGAGTGATAGCTCCTACAATGTACTTCTATCATCTGACTGTGCATGGTATTGCTTTTATGTACGGTATTCCAAACCATACCCCCACCGTGTAGGAATTTTATTAAATTGACACACTGCTAGAGGGTTCTTGGTTACCATATTTTACCGTTAGAGAAAGGAACACTCCACTCAAAGACTGAAACTTCAGGCCACATATTGGTCCCACTGAAGTCAATGGAAGACCAGGAGTGAAGAGGAGGAGGAGGTTAAAAGTTTTATTCATGTCCTGATGTTTAAAATCATGTTAGATGATCATGTTATAAACGAGGCTCCCCACTAGGTTACAGCATAATCAGCTAATGTGATTTTAAAGGCACTAAACTACATCTGTGCTCGGTGCTAAGCAGTGTTACCAATTACCTATTCTATATTTTGAAGTTGTATCAGTATCACTATTTGAGTGAGGGATATGATTTACCAAAATAATTATACCAGTAGACGCCCTAGTGTGCACACCATTATACCAGCATAAAGGTGCTGGTATAGCTTATTCTTCTTCCCGGGAATAAGCTATACTGGTATAAGCACTTTTATACTGGTACAATAGTTACCACTCTAGGGGGACTGTACGACATTAACAATATAAATATAGTAAAAGTGGTACAATTTTTATGTGTAGACAAGATCCTAATCTAGACAGACCCTTTGTCTACAGTAAGGGCTGAATCGTGTTTAAAACCATGTAAATGCATATTAGCTAATGAGTTTTTAACACCACCCATTTTAGCAGTCTGGACAAACCAAATATTAAATGTCACCTCTTTCTATTTCACCCAGGAGTGCTGACAATGGGCTAATACAGGCAGGTTTCAATGCATTCTTGCCTTAGCAAATGAGTTCTGTTCCTTGGGCTTCTGATCCCTTGCTTCTATTCCTCTGGCAGAGTTCATGACTACAGAAGAATCCTTGATTTGCTTAGTACATGGCTAGTTCCTTCTTTTATAGACTATTTTAAAAAACCTACTGGCAACTCCCCACAATTTTAGATGGATGCAGTTTCCATTTATGGTTCAGTGGAAAGAGATATTGGGGCTGTGACTGTTTCTGATTGACATATAAACAGTTATTGCAAGTTCAAGGAGAACCTTTCCCCCCATCCCCTTTCTTTAATACTTCCAAGAGTCTGATCTAGTGCTCTCTGAAGTAGTGGAAAGATTCCTATTGTCTTCAGAGGACTTTGGATCAATCCTTAAGAGACGTTCTACAGGCAATGAAAAACAAAACAGCACAGCGACTTGCCAGTCTGCACATGTCTGAAGTGCAGAAGATACTTCCCTCTGTTTAATAACATGTTGATATGATTTTCTGTTTCTTCCTGTCTTCATTCATGCTGAAGCAGGAAACCAGACTAACATTCTGTCATGCTTTACAAATGTGGTAGGGCTTTTGCAGTTTGTACTGTTATGGGCTGGGTATAATCTTGTTATAGGCGGAGTTAACATCTCTTTAAACTGATGTGTGAATAACTTCCCCATTTAAGAGAGATCGGGCGGGTGAAGAGTAATATATTTTATTGGACCAACTTCTGTCCTGAAGAAGAGCTTTGTTTAAGCTCAAAAGCTTGTCTCTCTCACCAACAGAAGCTGGTCCAATAAAAGATATTACCTCTCCCACCTTGTCTCTCTCATATCCTGGGACCAACATGGCTACAACACTGCATCCCCCATTTAAATCAGTTGTACTAAGAGACAGTTAAGGGGCCACATCTAAAACAAAGCCTAATAGAGTCTGTCCAGAAACTAGTACCAGTGGGTGGAGGGTTTAACTGGGTATTCTAACCAGGTGCAGGCATAGGGAGTTTGGGAGAGGACACACAGAAAATGTGAACAGGTAAGAACAGACTGAGTGGGAGAGAGAAGCGTATCTGACCCTGGAAGAAGCTGGGGATAGGTTTTTTGGGTCAGGGATGCAGGCTGAAAAGACTTTGGTGCTGTGAGCAAAAGAAGCTTTTTCCTGCTATTTGATCCCCTCTGAGTTCACAAATGCAGGACTTTGTCCACTCTTTGTGCATAAATAAAACTGCATGAAAGAAATACCTATCACCAATTTCTACTCCCAACTGGAACATCCACAGGGCCCCACATTTTGATTAGCTGCTCGGGATGAAAAGGGGCAACAATAGCAATGGATTACTTTTTATCAATGAGATCTGGATGAATTTATAAAATAAAATATGTAAATGTAATGTATATTACTTTCAGTTTCTTTCCTTAGCAATCCTACCTTTCCTGTCCTAAGTATAAGTGACACTGTCCTAGTAGATATGGCACTCAGGATGGCAAAGGGAAACAATAGAGCTAACAAGCAGAACACAAAACCAAACTAATACTGCTGTGAGAAACTAACAACAATACCTAACAGGTAGCACATTTAATCTTCAATGCATTTATAATCTCTCACTCACTAATTATCACAACTGAGAAGTATGGGAGTAAGAAGTATAATCCACATTTACACATATGGAAAAATGGCAAGATTAAGTGTGGGATTTTCAAAAGTACCAATGTGATTTAGGAGCAAGACAATAGGACTTGTTCTCTTAAATAACTTCAGCACTTTTGAAAATCATACCATAATCGGCTGGCCCAAGGCTATATACAAAGATAGTCAGTATAACAACTGGAATTAGAACTTGGGAGCTCCCGGTGCACTTTCCTATGCTTAAACAACCAGTCCATGCCTCAGCCCTACCTAATCAGTCATTATGTAATTCAGACCCAGTCATCAGTAATAGATTACGTTTACAAAGTAACCAAAGCAACTACTCAATCCTAATTGGAAAGCTATTTTTCTTTGCACACACACGTGATCTAAAATGGAGAGGGTTTAAAAGCACAGTTATAACTCTCAGGATCCATTGACTATATTAATATAGGGAATAGAGCATATTACTGAGGGTAAAATAGCATTCTGAAACTTACCACTGAGGTAAGAGCCATCTGAAAACTGTAGATTCGTGCAAGGCCAAAGTCAGCTAATTTTATCTGCCCACTGCTTGTCACGAGGATATTTTGTGGTTTCAGATCACGGTGCACCACTCGGTGTGAATGCAGAAAATCCAGCCCTCGCAACAGCTGAAGCATCATGTCCTAAACACAAACAGCAAATAGTAATCAATACAAGGTGGCAAATAAACAAAGTTTCACATCTGCAAAATGAAGTTAAATAACTATTGACTTGAATATGTGTACAAGAGACAAAAGTGCCTATTAACATAAAACAGACAGGATGTTGCTAGAGCCAGCTGATTTGAACAGGTGTACTTACAAAGGTAATTATAATTTCTAGTTGAATTATTTGAACAAATTATTTGATGTTGAGAAATAGAAGTGTGAAGACCAATCAATACATGTTAAAGAAATTATAGATCAAAATTCTGTAGTGTAGCAAAAGCATGCACATAAACCCCCCAAACAACTTCAAGAGCAAATTATCTAGGTCAGAGGCTGGCAAAGCAGCTGTTCTTCACTCAGACTCAAGCCACCTAGTACATAACTGAAGGAGAAGGATGCCCATCAAATAAATGTGTGCCTGGTCCTTTCCCATTGAAGTCAATGGGAGCCTTAGCATAGACTTCACTGGATACAGGATTAGACTCTATATGAGAATACTAACCCTTAGCTAATTGGCACTGTCAAAATTGTCGTTTTATATTCAATCTACTGTATAAAATTTACAAAATATATCAGGGTCTGTCTTTTGCTCTGTGTTTGTGTAGCGCCTGGCACAGTGGGATCCTGGTCCATGACTAAGGCATCTATGCACTACGGCAGGGGTAGTCAACTTTTTTTTTGTCAAGGTCCAAATTTATTGGTCAAGGTCTAGTCAAGGTCCAGACTCCAGAGAAAATAATAAAAAATAACAATAATAATGATAATAATTAGTAAATAAAAAGATTTCAGGGCCTGTTCAAAAGCGTCTGGATTTTGGTCGCGGTCCATCTATTGACTACCCCTGCACTACGGTCACACAAATAATAAGGTTTCACTTTTTTGCTTTCCATATAATATAGTTATAGTGACACAATATTTTATAACATTTTCAGTGTTAAAAAGAAACTTTGTTATTGGTGTTCATTAGGCATTGTTTTACAACAGTCATAATAACACAAAAGCAAGGAATCAACCAACAAATACTTCTCAAAACACAAACACTAGAAATCCAAGAATTTAAAAACTCAAGGGAAAGCATTAACAAAAAAATCACATCTGAAAACTGTGTACCTAGCATTGCTACAGGTAATTTCTAAGGTCACTAATAAATAAAAGGAATAATTTTTTCAGGTTCTTTATTTTGTGCATTTGACAGCAGTTTGTGTAAGTCAGTTTCATTGTCTTGGTGGTCCTATATGCCCTTCCCCAGGCCCTCCAGGAAGGTATTTACCAGTGACATTAGCAACAAAACTGAAACTGAAGAAGTAGATGGGAGGAGTGTATAGAGACAAAGGGGAGGAGAGGTGAGTTGATCATGCTTAGTGTTGTTGCTCTGGGGTGCACCCAAAAGTCCCTTTTAAACATAATCAGGGGAACAAACTCCCCCCTGCCCCGACATTTAAAAGAAAAAGGATACAAAACTTCAGCGCATACTGCTGAAAGGTAGCACTATCAGAAAATTACAATGACGACCACCCACAATTACTCCTTCTCCACCAATAGTCATAAGAAAATAGAATAATCTGGCTAGAAACCCAACAAGGGACAAAACCACACTCTTGACCATTATACTGATGGCTTCAGGAAAAAAACTGACTGTGAAATGCTTAACAAACATCATATCCACTACAATCTCTCCACTACCAAGAGGACAGCTACACAGTCCCTGAAATCCAACTACCAAATAGTGATCAAACCAGCAGACAAAGAGTCACCATCAAAGTCCTCAACTGTGATGACTACATTAACAAGGCCAAGTGACAGCTCTCCAATATCACCTATTATATAGAACTCAAAGACACAACATCACCACCACTACATTTTATCTAGGAATTTAAGGATATCATCAAATCTTTCCCCAAACAACTCCAAGAGAAACTCTACAACCTTATCCCACATGAACTCCTCAGGGACCTTCTACATGCTTCCCAAGGTGCGCAGACAAGGAAACCCAGGCATACCCATCGTATCTGGCCACAGCACTCTTACTGAAGGAGTATTGGGACTCATAGAAACCATCCGCCAACCACTCACCACACAAAGGGCCAGCTTCCTCCAGGACACAATTGACTTCCTCCAAAAACTCCACAACATTAACAGGCTCCCTCAGAACACCATCCTTGCCACCATGAATGTCTCAGTCCTGTACACCAACATCCCTCACAATGATGGCATTGCTGCCTGTCTCAAATATTGATAAGATAATGAACAACTCAGAGACATCCACCCCAAACAATAGTCAAATTCCTCGATTTCATCCTTACCCATAACAATTTTACATTCAACAACCCTTTGTCCAAATCATGGGAACAGCCATGGGTACCAGGATGGCTCCCCAATATGCCAACCTCTTCATAGACCATCTTGAAGAAGAATTTCTGGACAAATGCACCATGAAACCGATGATATACCTGAGATATATCAATGATATTTTCATCCTCTGGACAGACAACCTAAATTCCCTTACAGATTTCCACCACAACTTCAACAACCACCCCCTGTCCATTAAACTCTCTCTAGAACACTCTCACACTAGCATCTGCTTCCTGGACACCTTGATCAGCTTCAACAATGGAACTCTACAGACAACTATGTACAAGAAACCCAGAGGATCACCACACCTACCTCCACAGATCCAGTAGCCATCCCAAACACACCCAGAAATCTGTTATCTACGGCCAGGCATGCAGATATCACAGAATATGCTCCAAGGACAAAGTTAAAGACCTTAACACACTTAAAACCATCTTCACCAAACAAGGACACTCTACCAAAGAAGTAGATCGCATCATGAATGGGACACACAAATACACCAAGAAAACCTGCTTCAATACAGAAATAAAACCCCCTCCGAGCGCAGATCTCTAGTTGTCACCTACTACCCCATACTGAAGCATCAAACAATTATCACCCATAATTGATGGGAACCCCATCCTGAAATAAATCTTTCCTGAACCCCTTCTTCTGGCCTTCAATCCCCCACCTTCCTCCTGCAACCTCTCCAAGCTCATCATCAGAAGCAAACTCCCCACAAATCAGGACACATCAACTCAAGCAGCACCAGACCCTGCCAGTACAACAGATGCAAAACCTGTAGACCTAACTCTACTGCTACCATGATCAACATCCTCCTGCTACCCCCACAACACACCTTTCAAAATCCACGGGTCCTATACATGCCTAGCACAATGAGTGCTATACCTCATCCAGTGCACTAAATGCCCCAATAATAACTATGTGGGTGAAATCACACAATCACTATGCCCTCAAATGAACTCTCACAGAAAAATGAGACAAAAATACCCCATCACCTGTGGGTGAACACTTTTCACTGAACAATCACTCTATATCTGACCTCTCAGTCCTCACCCTGCACAACACCTTCAAAAGATGAACTTGGGATCTTAAATTCATAATTTTACTAGACACCAAAAATCATGGACTGAATAGATACACTTATTACAACAATCTATAACCCACGTAACCCAACCCCCAGCTTTTTTCCCCCTTTCCTCTATGACTGAAGAGGTGTTAACAGGCCCCTTCACCTTGAATGGTCCCGTGAAATGTGTTAACCACTTACGCTAAACTATCAGTTCCACCTTGTATTTAGTTGTGACACTCTGAAAAAGCTCTGTGTAAGCTCAAAAGCTTGTCTCTCTCACCAATAGAAGTTGGTCCAATAAAATATATTACCTCACCCACCTTCTCTCTCTAACTTTTACATAGGTCTTCTGACCTTGAAAATGTAATACCGAATTCATGGATTGATACATTTTAAGGCTCGATGGGATCAGTATGATCATTTAGTCTGACCTCCTGCATACACAATAATTGCCCATAATTTCTGTTTGACTTATAATAGCTCTCTCATAAAAACATCAGCCTTGGTTTAAAGACTTTAAGTGACAGAGAATCTACCATGTCTTTAGGTAAGTTGTTCCAATAGTTAACTACCCTTATTTCCAGTCTGAATTAGTTTAACTTCACCTTCCAAACACAGAGGTTTGTTCTGTCTTTGTCTACTAGGTTCATGAGCCCCTTGCTATCAGAAATCTCTTCCTCGTGTAGGTGCTGGTAGACAATGATCAAGTCACCTGTTAACCTTCTGTTAGATAAACTAAGGAGACCGAGCTTCTTAACTCTCTCACTGTAAGGCATGTTTTTCAGACCTCAAATCATTCTTGTGCCTCTTTTCTGAACCCTTCCAATTTTTCAACAACCAGAACTGGACACAGTATTCCAGTAATGAACTCACTAATGCTGTATACAAGGGTAAAACCATCTCCTTACTCCTACTTGACATTCCACTACTTATATACCCAAAGATCCCATTCACCTTAGCTACAGCAAGGGTGGGCAAACTGGCCCAACAGTTGTTTTAATCCGGCCCTCAAGCTCCCACTCCGGCGCTCCAGCTGGGGATAGGTTGACCACACAGTAAGTGTGAAAAATCGGGACAGGGGGTGGGGGTGGGGTAAAAGGAGCCTATATAAGAAAAAGACCCAAAAATCGGGACTGTCCCTATAAAATCGGGACATCTGGTCACCCTAGCTGGGGAGCAGGGTCGGGGGCCGCTCTGCACAGCTCCCAGAAGCAGTGGCATGTCCCCCCTCTGGCTTCTATGCATAGGGGCAGCCAGGGGGCTCTGCTCCACACATTGCCCCCACCTCAAGCGCCGCCCCTGCAGCTCCCATTGGCCAGGAACTGCAGATGGTGCAGCGTGCAGCAAAGCTGCCTGGTTGCGCATCCAAGTAGGAGCCAGAGAGGGGACATGCCGCTGCTTTCGGGAGATACTTGAGGTAAGCACCACCCAGAGGCTGCAATAATAAATACGCCCCAACCCTCTGCCCCACCCGCCCTCCAAACCCCTCGGTCCTAGCCCGGAGAACCCTCCTGCACCCCTCCCCCTTATCCCCAGGCCCAGCCCCGAGCCT